CAATGGGCAACAGTGGTGGTTGTTGTTCTGACGATGCCTGCGGGGCGGAGTCCAGTCTTATCGATCTCACATTCAATCTCACCATCGATATCTCTGTCGATATCACAATGGATCTCACAATCGATCTCACAATCGGTCTCACAATGAACATCATCATCAACATCAACATCACCAACCACAACATCAACATCATAATCATCATCATCATCATCATCATCATCATCATCATCAACATCACCGTCATCATCATCACCATCATCTCCATCATCATCACCATCACCATCACCATCACCATCACCATCATCATCATCATCATCATCATCATCATCATCATCATCATCATCATCATTCATCATCATTCATCATCATCATCATCATCATCATCATCATCATCATCATCATCATCATCATCAGCATCAGCATCAGCATCAGCATCAGCATCAGCATCAGCATCATCATCATCATCATCATCATCATCATCATCATCATCATCATCATCATCATCATCATCATCATCATCATCATCATCATCACCATCATCGGGACACCAGCGGGACACCGCGGGCCACCGGACGCCCGGGGCACAATCATTTGGTCCGGCCGCGCCTCAGCCACAGGAGACTTTCCTGACACCGGCGGGACACCGCGGGCCACCAGACGCCCGGGGCACAATCATGTGGTCCAGCCGCGCCTCAGCCACAGGAGATTTTCCTCTCGCCCGCCCACGCAGCTTCGCCTCGCCCGCACGCACGGCACGCACGAACACGAAACCGAAATCGATTTCCCGGTAGGGGGGCTCTCCGTTCCACTTCGACCTCTCCCCCCAACCTCCGATGTCCCGGGCCCCCCAAAGTGCACTGATGTACCTTCTGGCCGTTTCGGACCCGGCGGGGCGCGCCAAAAAACGTCAAAGCGGGCCGGGAGACGTCCAAGAGGGCGCCAAGATGGTCCAAGAGCGCGCCAAGAGAGCCCAAGACTGCACAACAGCGTCGCAAAATTGGTCCAACATGGCATGAAGACAGCACAAGAGGACTTGAAGACGGCCCAGATGCTGTCAAAAGGACTCCCACGAGGCACTCTGGAGGCGAAACAAGTGGTGTTTTTTATAGGGTGTTTGAAGGTTTTTCTTGTTCTCGCTGTTTTGTGCTTCCGAGGGTCCAAGACAGCCCACGAGGCCCCAGAAATCAGCTCAACACGGCCCAAGAGCGGCCCAAGACGGCCCACGAGGCGCTCAAGATCGCCCAAGACGGCCCCAAGAGGGGCAAAAGAGGGAGAACACGAACCGACAATTCGAGCCTTCTGCCTCAAGAGGCCTCCAGGAGGCCCCAAGAGGCCCCCAACAGAGCCCAAGAGGCCCCCCTGAGGCCCCGTAGAGGCCCCCAGGAGGCCCAAGAAGAGGCCCCGAGAGCACCCCAAACGGCCCCCAAGAGGCCTCCAAGACATACCGGTGCATAGCAAAGGAGCGTCTAGCTTGTCGTGGCATCGCAGCGTAGCATGACATGGCATGGCACGGCACAGCACAACAGAGCTAACCGTGTCAGTGCATATCACCGTATGGTTCAGCATGCCATAGCATTGCATTACATAGAAGTGTCTAGCTGAGCCTAGCACTGCACGTCACGACGTAACATTGCCTAGCATGGCATTGCATCTCATAACACATCGTGGCGCACGATGACATTCCAATGCACTTAAATTGATCGAGCAGCACCGTACTGTTCTGCGCAACAGTAAACAGAAACCATGCAAACATCACACCCACGTTGTTGCTCATACTGCCGTCCTGTTTATTTTTGCTTAGCAGCTCATAACATCATAGCACTGCATCGCATTGCATAGCTCGGTCAGCCGTGTCTGTCCATACCATGTAACGCGGTAGCATCCCTCTTCATAGGAAACATAGCGAGGTATGGCACAGCGTATCATCCCACATTTCATCGTTGCATGTTACAGCACAGCATGGCATGGCATGCAATGCGCACTGTAGAGCATACCATGTTATTGCATTGCATATTGCATAGTGATATTGCACTTCATAGCGTAGCATGGTCGGCCCCCGATCGCCCACTGATCGCCGACAGGGGCCTGACAGCCCCACCGCGCCGGGGATCGTGCGGATTCGCTAATGGGTGGCTGTCGCCGACTTACTGGCGATACATCGTCGGTTCAAGGTCGATGTTTCCCCCTACTAGCGGGTCCCCCCCCCCTAGTTCCCCCTCACTCTTTTTCGCGCCGCCTCCCCCTGGTCGGCAGCCAGCCAGGAGGACCTGCCCGGCGCCTGCACCAGGGCGGCAACCGAGGCACCGCGCGCTTGGGGGGGATGAGAAGGATGGAGATTTCCAGATCCCCGACGAGAGGATTTTTCGAGGAGCAAGACATGCCATTAAAACATACATGTTCGGATGTCAGCGTTGGTTTCCTGGGTGGGCGTGGGACACCCCGGTCGGCCCCAGAGGCGCCGCCAGGGGCCTCCGGCGCCGATCCGAGAAGTCCGCGCGAGCTTCCGAAGGAGCAGGAAGGACATCCCCAGCTCTCAGACGATTGGATTTTTTCAATCGGAGCGTTCCCTGAGATCCTGACGTCTCATTCGTGTTTGCGCCGGGCGTCTTCGCCCGGCTCCAGGCCGCGGGGCCACCCCAGCTATCGATCGGGCTCGAGCTATGGTGCAGAAAGGTCGGGTCTGGAGGTTCGGTCGGGATGGTTCGCCATGTGGCAACTTGTGCGTGCCATCGGGACTCGGGGCGTCTCCTCGGTGGCAGCCTTCGGGGCTCGTCGTCGGGCCGCGGGGCTACAGCAAGCAGGGATATCTATATGACGGAAGGCCGGTCGCTGCTCCCAGGGGAGAGGTCGGGAGCCCTGTTGTCGCGGTCGTCGTCGTTTTCCTCTTCGTCCTCGTCCTCGTCCTCGTCCTCGTCCTCGTCCTCGTCGTCCTCGTCCTCGTCGTCGTCCTCGTGGTTGTCGTTGTCGTCATCGTCCTCGTCGTCCTCCTCGTCGTCCTGCTCGTCCTCGTACTCGTCCTCGTCTCCCTCCTCGTCGTCCTCGCCGGCCTCGCCGTCCTCGCCGAGGATGCCCGGGCTCTCGGGACTCCCGCGCGGCGAGGCCGCGGCGGCCTCCCCGCCCCGCGGCGGGGAGCGGCGGCGGCCCGCGCAGAGTCGGGCCGGCGTGCGCGCTCGGCAGGCGGCGTCGCGGGGCGGCGGCCCGGGGGGCCCCGCGCGGGCCACGCGCGAGGAGGGGGATCGCCGAGGATAGGTCGGCCACGCGCGGAGGGGGGGGGGGGAGGGGGGAGGGCGTCTTAGAAGCACCCCTGCTTCTCGGAGGGCGCGGGCCTTCTCTGGTCAGATGTGAGGCCGGCGCCTTCTGAGGAGCGGCCTGCTTCTGAGAAGCCCTGCCCCCTCCCCCCGCCCCCCTTGTGCGCGCCGCCAGATAGGGGAACAACAAGTGACATAAACATAAACAACTCGGAGTTCTGCGCGGATTTCTCGGGTCGGCGCTGGGGCCCCCCGGCGGAGCCTCCGGCGCCGCCCCTGGCGCGCTCCGCGCGCCAGGGAGGGGGGTCCAGCGCCGATCCGAGAAATCCGCGGGGACCTCCGAGTTGTTTTATGTTTATGTCACTTGTTGTTCCCTTAGAGGAAGCGCAGGCAGGGAGGAGAGGCGCGTGGGTCACTCAAGCAGTAGCGAAGCGTTCTGGCTCGCCCATAGCCCCACCAAACAATGTTCGAAGGACCTTTCGTGGTTTCCACGAAAGGTTCTCAGAACGTGTCTGGCGGAGACTGTCTTGTTTTAACACATCGGGTTCATGTTCTAAGAACATTGTTTTTGTTCTTTGGGTTCTAAGAACATTGCGTGGTAGGACTATAGGAATGCCGGGACGGTCGGTCCCTGCTCCAGTTACAGACGGACCGAGGCAGAAGATCGAGGTCGCTTCGGGGAGGGAGCCCCGATGCTTCGGGGGTGGGCAGGGCCCCCGCCCCGATGCGTCGATCAGTGAAGTGTCAGTGGTCGGTCCTCGAGAGGGCGCCGCGGCCGTCGTCCAGGCTTGCGCCCGCCAGGGTCGGGCCCGAGGCTGCTTCCACGAAGCCACGTTTTATTACCAAAGGGGCTTATATCCATCCCCGAAGGTTATGCATTCAGGAGGGGAGAAAAAAAACACACAGAGACAATGAATCGTCGACTCCCAGGAAAAGATGGGAAAATATCGGAAGTGGGGGGGAAGACGAAGACCCCGAAAACATTGAAAAATTGGGAATCCTGTTAGTTGTGTCTATTTATTTGTGTGTCCCAGGGACCCTTCAGTCGTGTGTGTTGGATGTTCTTCTGCACCCTGGGGAGGGCATCCTTGGACGCCCCCTGCGTGTTGGCCGCCGGAGGGCCCCGCGCTCTCGAGGGATGCTCTCCTGCCCCGGCTTCGGCCGCAGCGCCGTGCCCCTGGTTCCGTACAGACTTACAGTCTCGGCCGGCGCGCTCTGACGCCGAAGTTCTTCCTCCTCCTCCTCCTCCTCCTCCTCCTCGTCCTTCTCCTCGTCGATTCCCCAGAAAATATGGGAAAACATGGGAGGTGGGGGGGAAGACGAAAACCCCTAAAACATTGGAAAAGATGGGGAATCCTGTTATGTGTCTGCATTTATCTGTGTGTCCCAGGGCCCCGTCAGGACAGCCTCGGCTGGCGCGCTCTGACGCCGAAGCCGGCGGCATCGGCCTCATGTTTCGGAGGGTGCTTTCGAGGGATTCGACCGCACGTACGAGTGACCCCTCGCCAGAGTGACCTTCGGTGCGGGCCCATCGGGGCCCGACCGATCGCCGAGTGCAATGCGATGGCAGCGGCCTCCGCGCCTGGTGTTGTCCCCAGAGGGCCCCCCCTTGGCCGCGCACGAAGAAGGTCGCCCCTTGCCTGGGGTCACTCTTGCGCGTAGCCGATGGATCTGGCGCCCGCGCGCCAGACCCACGGAGCCCTGCAGGACTCCACGTCAGCTTGCGCCCGATGGGCAGCCTCGCTGCTCGCA